TGCTCTTGCTTTGCCGATCCGCGCCTTCACATCTGCATCAGATCCACCGTGTTCATCAATGATGCTGCCCAAATATGTAAAGGTTTTCACATCTTCCAAACCTTCTCCGTCAATTGTGATTTGATTGGTGCATTCTGTGTTGTATCGGAGAATCCTGCTTTTCCCTTTGTGTATAGTGAGACCTACTGCTACTGAGGCTGCTGCCACACACAGAAGTTTCTTCAATATTGATTTGAACGCGAGTCAATTGAATTAATTATGTAATGTTTAAAAACAGTTATACAAGCCTTGAATTGTATACTTATTTAACTTGCCATGACTAGCTACTATACAGTTATTCTATATCAGAAAGGGTTTTGTAGAGATTTTACAATTTTCACTGGTTGAAATCATGAGTCAGTTGAAGCTAAACCACCATGGAAGACCTGGAAGCATTGAATCGCCGTTTCGTCCTAGTATGGGACTCCTCAGCGGTGCGCACCCACGATCCCGCACCCCGCGGCGTTCGAACGCATGACCTATCAGCCTCGCGCCGGACGCTTAACCAACTAGACTACTGAGCCGGCCGATACCAACGGTGTTAATGTCTAACTTCGACCAATCCACAAAGTTGCGCCACCGTACACCATTGTCTTCAGTGAGTTACTATCTCACAACAGACCTGGTTGAACATAAGTAACCACTTTATTTTCTTTATAAATAAGAAAATCCGATAGGAGCAATCAATTGGTTTGTGGTTAGGTTATTTGGTAAAGCTTTGTTTTCAGAATGGGTTTTGTGGAGATTCTTAGAAATTTCACAGGTTGAAATCATGAGTCAATTGAACTGCTCACTAGTGACTGACTTCAAGAGATACTCCTGGAGTTCTAGTGAGAAGCCGTTACCACCGGAGTTCAACCAGGTCTGTTGTGAGATAGTAACTCACTGAAGACAATGGTGTACGGTGGCGCAACTTTGTGGATTGGTCGAAGTTAGACATTAACACCGTTGGTATCGGCCGGCTCAGTAGTCTAGTTGGTTAAGCGTCCGGCGCGAGGCTGATAGGTCATGCGTTCGAACCCCGCGGGGTGCGGGATCGTGGGTGCGCGCCGCTGAGGAGTCCCATACTAGGACGAAACGGCGATTCAATGCTTCCAGGTCTTCCATGGTGGTTTAGCTTCAATTGACTCATGACTTCAACCTGTGTAAGCTTTATTTATCAGGTATCATAAAGGCTATTTGCTTAAAACCAATCATAGATATAGTGATACGTTTTGGCTGATGTTATACACAGCATCATCAGCGTTCAATAAGTTTGTCATTTCTTGCACTAGTACATGTTTTTTCCTTTATTGAGTGGGTGAATGATGCATATAAGAACGTAGTTTTTAATAAATGGTTAATCTTAAGCTATCTGTAAATATCTTCTTTGAACACGTCAGTGTAGTGTAGCCGACGTGCCAGATTATAACACAGCCACACTCAGAGTTGTCTGTAGATCGAACATTTGTTGAGAGCTACACTCTAATGACTCTACTTACTTACTGACGCCTGTTGCTCCACGTGTGGGCATAGGCCACCGATCAAAGATCTCCAACGAACTCTGTCCTACGTTATCCTTTCCACTTGTTCCTAAGCTCTGTTCGTTCTTTTGATGTCCACTTCTAATGCCCTGCTTAATGTGTTCTTTGGCATGTCTTTTTTCTTTTTGCCTTAAGGATTCCAAGTTGGGGCCTGCTTTGTGATACGCTTTGATGACTTCCGTAAGATGTGACATAGAGACTTTTCCTAATTTCCTCTTCAGCTGGAAGTTGGTCTGTTCGCTGTCACAGTAAGAGATGGCACCCTTTTATTTAGTGACTTGAAAGTGCAGCGTACGACACACTTATTTCGGATGTTGTGGATAATCTTGGCTGTAAATTCGCAACTATACTAGTGTGCAAATCTAAGCTATTGTTGATTAGTTTACTTACAGTCTAGTTGTTTCTCTTGATTTAGTTGTGACTTACATACAAATGAATATTTACTATGATTAAATACAAAACAACTTGTTTAAACGACAGACAGAACAAAACATTTCATGGGTAAAGAAAAGCTAGAATGAAATTTTTGATGTATCTCTAAGTGGTATAACAGTAAAACGACCTGTAGTTCGTAGATCCAATTATTACTGATATGATCCAGATGTCATCATACATAATTAATAAAACTATCTAATTAGTTACAAAATGAATAATTAATTAAAAAGACCTTAATCATAAGACACGGATTTAACGATGGATAAATCCAAAAAAATTGTCTAAGAAGTATACAATGAAAAGCTTAAATAAATTTGAAGCAATTAATTTGCTTACTTACAAGTAGACGAAAAACTAGAACAGATAAATATAAACATGAAGTGAAAAACAAGGGTGCAAAATATTTAAAATAAAAAGCAAATCTTCCTATATGATGATATTGATAAAAATAGTGAATAGAAGACAATAAGCACTAAAGGTGATTAGACTTATTTTGGATTACTATTTACCTAATATAAAAAGTATATGCGTTAAAGTCTTTCACCGAATGACATTCAAAGGAAAACACTTTTACATGCAAAGTCAATATTTATTATTAAAATGTAGGAAAGTTGGTGATATTTTAGAGTGGTCAAGTAAAATATTTACTCTTATAATTAATATATGTATATGCATTATACATACAAAACCAGGTCCCAAAGCTCAATAAACGATGAACAATCATGATAACTTAATAAAATCAGAATGAAAACTCTCCTCTAAAAAATAATCGAATGAAAATATAAAAAGACCTGTAAAACTGCAGATTTGGAGAAAACATTAGTTATAATTACATGACTTGAATCTTTCTGAGATCAATAGTTTACAATAAGCACAAATTGGTAATTCTCATTTACTTTGGATATCAATTTGTGCAGTGCAAATAACAACTTCGTTGAAACTATTCCCTCTTATCTGGTAGGAAATATCGCCTAAAACAATTTAAGAGGTATTGTTAATAGCGATTATTAACCAAAAGTCTATTTATATAGTGACTGGGCTATAACCATACGTGTTGCGTGCTGAGTAGTGAAATTATACAATTGTGTGAACAAAAGTAGGTAGTTTTGAACATACTACCCATTAGTTAGGAATAAAGTGGACCAAATGCAATATAGTTCTCTCCACCACCTTATATTTCACTGAGAGGATTAGAACAAGAGAAGAAAACTGGTCTTTATTTGCAGGGAATGATTATTACTAATACATGTAGTTTCTGGAGATTGTCTTAGACCGCCAACGCTGGCTGTAGCTGCTACCTTGATGTGGTGATCAGGCACGCTTGTCGTGATGACACAGTTAGCTAAATTGGCTGGAACACATGTTCCTTTAAATCCTACCACGCCAAGTGGCTCGGCTGAAAAACGGTAAGACTAAAAGCAGAAACTTTAGTTCCGAGTTAGTCGTACTACTGACTATACAGTTGTGTGACAGAAGCAGTGTTTCCCTTGTACAACCAGCATCTGCAGCGATTCCGCCTTCTCAAAACGGAGGGGTCGGAAAAGGTTGAAACTAAAAATGTTACACCTCAACTTAACCGACCGATTTCCGTAGTGGGTAGCGAAAGCAGAAGAGGTGGAAAAGGTAGCAGCTATGGGCGTCAGTAGACAACTGTTCAAGCTTATCAAGCGAAGAGGTATTGAAAATCTGGCTGCTAGTGAAGCTACCTCTGGAAAAGATGGGACTATTATTCACTTTCAATCCAGGAGATAGAACCGATAGGCAGAACACTTTAGGGGACAGTTCAACTGAGCTTCAGTCACACTTTATCTACTGTCTACAAGCAACCTGAATGGCGAATTGATGTAAGTTCTCCAATTCTTGATGAGGTTAAAAACGATATAAATAATCTAAAGAGAGAGAAGCAACGGAGCCCGATGGACAAACTCCTGGGGTTTATAAGGATGGTGATCCAGTTTTAAAAGTTAGATTAACTGAAATCTTAGCTAAAATCTAGCAACTGGACGTAACCCCGACTGAATAGTCTCGATCGCTGACCGTCCCACTTTGCAAGAAAAGGAAAGATCAGGCATCGAAGATTAGACTCGAAACGTAAATATAAACTTGTGAAATGTAGACGAAAAAAAGTTATGGGGAACCTAGAACCTCAGGATTTGGAAGAAGACAAGAAATGGATGCACCTGCACCATTAAAAACGGTTTCCAGTTGTCATTCAGTCTCTAATCACCGGTCACGGTAATCACGTGGACCCAACAGGGTAATGTGTACCTATTAACATAGCTCACTCCAATTGTCAATAATTTTGTGGACTAATGCCACGTTTTATTTAGGTGACTCCTAGCTTTCTTACGATCTAAATCCACACATAAAAGCATCGCCCATCGAGGTAGGTGGTGATTGTGTACACAACACATATCCAACCACCTAAGTTGACGAAGATCTACTACCTCATCAATTGACTTGCCATCTTTACCTAGTACCATATTCCTAACCCAGTCATTGCTTACTTGGAGGTCCCAGTATACGCGAGTAATGTTTCGAAGACACATGATCGAGTACTAGTAACCTACAAATATCCTCTATTCTTAATGGCCACGTCTCACATCCATAAAGTAGGATGGAGAGAACTGCTGTGTACTAAACTGGTCCTCTAGCATATGCCATTAATGACGCAAGTTGTTAAAAGTCAATCAAGACTTTTAAAATCCGTGCCCGAATTTCGTCATGCACCAGACCATCAGTAATGATGAGACTCCTAGGATATGTAAACCGGTCGATACGTTCGACTTTACTCCCTATCATTAATCCAGGCGATTATGCAGGCCAATCATGAAGCGAAATTCTGAATTTTTAGGGAGAGAATCACATCTCAAACATGCTTGCATTATTTCTTATTGTGGTTTGAAGACTGGATTATGTCAGAGTCTTCACTAAACAGAACTATATCGTCTATGTATTCCAAGTCAACATGTGAATCTACTGATAGAACAATATTTGAAATATCAAACGGTGAGTGTTATATTTAAAAGCATGTCCATGAAAAAGTTAAATAAAACTAGAGAAGGCTGACAACCATGACGAACACTATTTGAAATTATCAATTCAGATGACAGTTGACTATAACCTTGGACATGTATTGCACTAGATCAGCTAAAGTAGGTTTTTTTAAATACTACTTTTACTTTGATTTCAAGTCATGATGATTGTCAGTACACGGAACATCATTATATGTTTCAACATAATTCACATTTCTCATTACGATATATTAAGGAAATTAAATACAAATAATTAATTAATTAATACACAGAGTAATTACTGGTAGTATTAGTAGGTAGGTAAACCTACACATATACACTCAAAGGACAGACATATATCAACACTAGAAAAAAAAAGATATATAAAATAACATTCGTTAGATTCTTCATTTGTTTAGATTAATGTTGTTATCATTATTACTGTTATTGTATAAATGTACTCAATGAAGATGGTCGAGTTGGTTGTTACTAACAATGATGATGATGATGATAATAGTAATGTTATGATAATAATTATAATATCAGTAATAATAATATTTTAGGAGCAGAGGTCAAAGTTGTATTTCTTCATATTAATAGAATGAATTAAATTATTTAAATGAAAAATAAATTAACAAAACCAGAGAGAAAAAAACCAATCTGTACATAAACATGTGTGTTCAGAGCGTATAACAACAAAGCCACTGTGTGTACACACATGTATGTGCAAATTTGTATATATTTATGGTTAGTGCAGATTACAAAAGTTATTCGATATAGAGAGAGAAAGCGAGAGAGAAAAAAAAGTGATAAAGTGTAAAAGAAATGTAGAAAAGAAAGAAATGGGAAAAGAAAATAACACTTATTGAAATGTCAATTGTACGGCGAAATAAGAAAATTGTGAAAGAAAAACTAAACCAAACCAAACCAAAATAAACACATGAAAAATAAAGAAAAAAAACAAACAAACAAACGAAATTTTCTTTTAAATTAATGAAATAAAATGAGAAAAAAAAAGTATATTAGTTTATTTTTATACAATACACAATATGGATTAACGATGAAATAATGTAGGGGGAAAAAGCAAAATGTTTCCTTTTATCTACATTCATCAAGGTTGAATTTAGTTTATATGATGTATACATAAACATGTAAACAGAGAAACGCTTATGTGAGCATATACGCACACACCATCATCATCATCAACAACAACAACCAGAAAAGAAACAATTAGTAATTAAAATCATACTAATCAGAACGACAATAATAAACATTGAGTGATAAGAACGCATGTAGTGTTGGTGTAATAAAGATGAATTTGACGGTCACATTAGTAAATGTTTCATTGAGTTTTGTTTTGTTTCCTATTTACGAAAAAAAAAGGTCATGACAACAAAGTAGAAGGTGTAAAATAAAGTCAACACAGCTAGTAACTATAAAATGTTTGCTCTTTTATTCAAATAGATATAGTAAGAAGAAGAATTTGATATTACATCAGACTAGCTAATTAGGAAAATATAAAAGCAAATAACAATGACTAAACATTGAACACACACATACACGACGTAACAAAACTAATTTGTACACTCACACATACCATGATGATGAAAATACCGAAATCAAATATCAAGTTATCGTTGAAAAAAAAGACGAGTATGAAATAATAAATGGTAGTAAGTACAAGAAGGGACGTCACCAGTAGACATGCTGTTCAATAGAAAGTACCTCTACTGCTGTTATTTACTTAATAAGAATGGTATAAAAGTATTAAAGTCGGATAACACAATTAATTTTAATGTGAATAAACATACATAACACAAAGAACTGGATTAAGAACACGTAAATAATGTCATTAAACGGAATGAGAAACAAAAAAATAACAACTATAAACTTGTTTCTGGTACTGAGACAGCAGTGATAGCACCCAGAGAAGAGGAGTTTGACAGAACAGAAGAAGGACGAGAATTGGTAAGAGCACATGAATCTGTATGATCTTCCATAACAGTGGACGAAGCAACAGGACAGAGATGTGAGGAAGCGAATGTTAAAAACGTACCACTAACAGGCCATGTTGTTGTTAGAGGAGTTGAGTTAACTGACTCATTTGTATTAGATGTTGAGTTTGGTAGACTGGATGTTACATTAACCGGTGGTGTATGTACTATAGGTACAAGCATTGCTGTTTGCTGTTGAGTAGGTGTAGATGAAGGACGACCTGGTAAAACACCTGTAGTGTTAATTGGCCTATGATAATGTAACAACTGAGAAGGAGCTGTAACCTCCGTAGACGATTGAAGTACCGATTGTTGTTGACTAGATAAACTGGAGTGAGGGACAGAAACAGGAGGAGGAAAAATAACTGTTGCAGAAGAATGACCACCGTGAATTGCTGCCTGATTGGGTGCTGTATTGGGAAATATAGTTGAACCAGAAGTTAACAGTTGTGAAGCCTGATGGCCATGAGTTGGTATATTAGTTGCAAAAGCAATATGTGTTGCCTGTCCCGACTGTAAATGAACCTGATGACCCACTAAATGTGCAGCTGAGTGATGTGGATTAATAATTGTTCCCTGTGGATGAGAAGTGGGAATAGAAGTTAGAGTAAACTGTTGCCCGGGTTCTAGAGTGAGTCGAGGATCCAACTGAAAAGAAAGGAGACGATGATTAGCAACAAGTTTAGCATATATATATAATGTGCCACCTCAATGACATATGCAGGTATATCGTTATTGATAGGCCTAAATTTAAAGCGACGTATGATAGTTGAAAGAATCACTAGAAAACAGGTTTACAATAAACTTCAGAAATAACTTTCAGAATGATGTTAATCCTCATTTTCATGTATCCATTGAAGATCATCATCCCAGAGTTAACCAGTATCCTCCAACTTAATTCAACGACTATATTAAATGTAGAATTTTACTTAATCATTGGAAGTAAATATCAAAGATAATTTTTTTTATTATCCCATTTCTATTAGCAGTTTACAGGTAGAGAAAAGAATATAGGCATGTTTACAAATAGTAATTTACCAGATGTTAGTCAAAAGTGCTTTCCCCTAAACGAGTTAATACTACTTTCTAATGATATCTGTTGCAGCAACGAAACTTGATATCACATATCTATCACTAAATTCACTGGCGACGAAACCAATAGTATTAGTAAATAAAATACATTAGTGAACAACCAGGAGTGGAATTAAAATCCATGCTCAATGGGTTCTGATTACGGTTAACCGAAATCAAGTAAAACTCAAATTTCTTGAATATTGGTAGAGTCAAAACGCAGTTCTAAATTTTATGCAGTAGCAACTTTAGAACTAATATAAAAAGATAATCCACAAACTAAAAAAATAAAAATACTCACCGGTTCTAAATAGACAGTATCTCCACCAACAGAATTCAATATAAATCCACCATCAGGTCCAGCAGTAGCTAAAGTAGCAGTACATGATCGATCTAATTCACCTGTTGGTGTAAGAAAAGCAACTGAAGTTTGTCTGAGTGCATCACCATGATGAGGAGTTGAAGTGAGGACAGTTGGAAACATAAAAGACATTGTAGGAGAAGAACTAGCTTTTAAAAGTGCTTCTGATTGAACACTTAAGGCAGTTGATGAATTTGCAAGAGATGCCGAAGGTTGAGTAACGGAACAGAGACCACCAGAAATAGATGTTGTTAATAGAGATGTATTTCCCTCACCTATATAAGCGAAAGAAAAAGAATCATAAATATAAAGTATGAAGTTAATTTTGGTCAATAAAATCAATAATTTTGGAGCACAAGCAAATATAACCTTTGGAATACTAGTGCCAATAAGAAATAATATAACTAATTATATTGCATGATCAGCCAGTTAATTTTGATTCATATATAATGGTTCTTTGGATCTTTCCATTAATGGTTAGGAGCGCAATCGATCAGTCTGTTATCAGCATATGTACATTCCGTGAGGATTGACTCGATATTAAAAGCAGAGTCACCGGCATTTTAAACGGAGATAGATGGTGGCTAGCAGTCGAATCAATGATGCACATTTCGTCCCACTTGGAATTCGTCAACTGAGTGTACTCGTATCCCATAGTTGATGTCCACTCAAGGACTCGAGCCTAGTACCTATACATTTAAATGCTGCCGCGTGGTCCTTTTAGCTACTGAGTCAAGACAGCTATTGTCTTGTGTAATGAGATGAATTTTAATTCACATATATTGGTTGTATAGATCTTTCCACTGATTTTTACGACTGCAACCAATCAGTTAGTCATATCCAACATGAAACTTGAAACACATTGTCGGAGGGACCCTGAAAATTCCTCGAAAAAAACCAGAGAGGACCTTAAAAACGTTGAGAAACATTTTATCCAATCAGTATTGAATAGAAGTTTGTCAGAAATATCTAGAAAGCGAAATGTTACGTGTCACATTTCCGATTGGATGACTACCTAACCTGTTAATATGTTCAGTACGGTCCCAGAACTTGCCAGAAGCCCAAGGCTGTCTGAAATGTTGTGCACACTCTCACTGGATTATACTCCTTAAATAACATCTTCAAATCCTAATTTTTCTGATTACAGCTTATGATTTTACTACATCTAGCAATACGGGATTTGAATCGACCACTGCATCTCTGTGCTAATGTGGTGTGGCAACTCGAACTGATTTACGTACGTACGAAGTTCTACGTTGTTACTGACTGACTGACTGAATTTTCTGTACATAAACTAACCTTGCAGTAAAGCGTTTCTCCCATATTACGCTCCTTTTCTCTCGTGTTTAAGTTGTCTTGTAGAGTTAGTCTACGGTTATTACAAGAGCTTAGGAGACCGATTCAAGTGTTCAGTCAGAAGATTTATCATATATGCATCAGTTCAACTTATCACACATTAATACAGTGAGATTATTATCATGACAAATGTCAAAATAGATAGAAGTAGCAACAACATCAACGATGGAGGTGATAATGAAGTGCATTGATTAGTATATATATTAATAGTTACTGGATCATTATTTTATTAATTAATTAATGGCTTTATTCAATATTATATTTTGGTACAATATAGAATTCTCAGCACAGGGTATTTCAACAAGTTACTTACGCAAAAAAACAGTAACAAAGACAAAAGAAGGGATAAAATGGGTTTGAAAAAAACCCGAAAAACTGTACAACTTTTCAAATTAGAGACATGTTAACGATGCAGGTTATTGATTAGGTTAACTCCAACAACCTGTTCGACACAGTATATTTGCTAGGTAAAGTATTGTAGAACTTTTATACTTTTGCTTGCGTGCATGGATTTTAATGTAATTACGTCTCGTTCTACCAGAAGATATACAGGGAGAAACATATGAATGAAGGGGATGGTTAGTATCTGATAAAATAACACCTCCCAGGAGTTTGCATGACTTTAAATGTCTATCCACAACCATATTAATTATGACCTCGAGAGATTCACCACACACCGGGAAAGAATAATGGAGAACAGTAAAGAATAACAGGTAATATGCAAGAATCGACAAATTGTAAGAGTAAATGACGAGTAATCCCAAGAACATGCAGTCTTCATGTAGTAAGTCAGACGGGAAACCTTCTTCGATAACAATCAAACGTGAGACAGCCAAGAGAGATCAGAAGAAAAGGTAACACCAAGATAACTGACCTTCGACACTGTGTTTATCAAAGAGTCTCCAATGGCACAAGTATTATGGGATCTCAAAATGGTTTTTAGATGCGGTTCATGTCTCATGCTAAAGTTAACAGTTTGACATTTAGATGGATTAAGTATGAGACCATTACCAACAGACCAACAATCAATACGAGACAAAAACTCATTCATTTCTATGGGATGTAAAGAGGAAGAGATAGGCATACATACAGTGAGATCATCTGCATATTTCACAAAAGTGTTTTCTGTGGAAGATCGCAGATCATGAAGAAAAGATCATGCCGGTTTGTGATCGACTCTGCTTTTTTTGAATAAACTAAGCAGAATAATTTTTCTTACCTTTTTAGCGAGTGGTCTTTAGTGCTGTTAGAAGTATACACTCTCTGTCTTCTCTTAAACTAAGAGATTAAGATCACTTCACATCTTTCTTTCTACGAACTAATTCTTTCTTCCTATACTATATCCTTATTGCAATCTTTCTCCTATATATTACCACCTTTGACCTAACCACTCCTATGAATCCGGTGTTCATCTTGCTGTGCTATTGAGGTATGGCAACCTGGGCCGATGCATACATGTGCCTGGTCCTACGTTGTAGCTGACTGACTGACTGACCTTTTTAGCGAGTTTAATTGGGTCGTTTTAAGGTAATAGCTGTTTCTTGAAAGTAAGAAATCCATCCATATCCACTTTGCATATTCACTTAATCAGACATTTTCTTATAATCAACAGGTTAATCAATCAATTTCTGTACTTCATTTCTATGTTTGTATTTATTCAGTAGCAAAAGCACAGATTGATTCACTCTGTGCCTTCTCTTAGGTTGTGTTTTTCCATTATTTACAACAATTCTTTCTTATGGAATTACGTCCATGCCTGTTATTTTTTTCATCATAATTGCAGTTGTTGCTACTTCAATCTGTTTTGACATTTGCCATGATAATAATCTCACTGCATTGATCTGTGGTAAGTTGAACTGATGCATATGTGATAAATCTTCTGACTGAACACTTGAATCGGTCTCCTAAGCTCTTGTAATAACCCTAGGCTAACTCTACACGACAACTTGAACAGGAGAAAAAAGGGGTGGAATATGGTTATCCGTGTGACGGTTTGAAATTGAAGTCAGTTATGGGGCAAAGGTCCATCATCCCAAGTTAACGCAACACATCAGAACAATAAGATAACATTAAAAATGAGCACATCAAAGGCGATGAAATAATAGTAGTATCAAAAATAGTAAGACTAAGCATTGGAGGATATACTTCAAAGAGGAGGAATGGGATTGAGAGATAGAAAGTATGAAATAATATTGAAGCTCAATATTTAAGGGAAAATAAAGAATGACTTCATCTGTGCTATTAGGGCCCATTCTGACCCGTCTTACTCGATATCTTCAACCCCTGATCGCGGTCACCATGTGGACCTCCGCCCCAACCTAGAAGTCCGAGCCTATTTGACTACCTACCAACTCAACAATCATTCTATAGGTTCATAGACTAGTTTAACGTCTTGATTTGCTTATTCCTAGCTTTCTTTCAACGATAAGCAGGTAACATAAATCTGGGCCCAGTGGGTTGTGATCACTAAGTAAGAAACATGTCAGTTACTTTTCAGACTACATGAGTTCTCTTAAAGACTTAATTTACAATAAAAAAACATCAGTTTTAGATTATAAGACAAATTACCCGAATTATGTGCAATAATGGTAGGATGAAGATGAGAATGTGGTTCAGTTAAATGAGCTGGCGCAGCTATTAAAGCACCAGGAGCACCTGATGTAAGAATTAGTCCAGGTACTGACGATGCAGGCAAGAAATTAGCAGGAACTAGAGCACCAGTTGCTGTTAACACAGTCCCTGACATTGCGGCAGCGATCGCAACAGGAGCATCAGAAGTTAAATTCGATGACGAAGCGATATAGGATGGTGTTTCCATAGTCATAACGGAAGAAGAGTTATTATTATTATTATTATCTGAAACAGTAGACGTAATAATTTGGAGTGATGGCTTTTTCTCTTCATTTCCACTCTTTACATCACTGCCGTCTGCATTATCATTTGGAACAGGACTCGTTGGATGAACTTGCTTCCGATGGCGTCTCAGATTCGAAATACATGCAAAACTGACATCACATTTTGGACAAGAGTATGGCCGATCACCACTATGAACACGACTAAAAATTAATCACAGAAATTACAATACATAATTTTAGTGTAAAAAAACTACACTTGTATATGAAATCTAAATTACCAATACAAATATTGTAAGAACTTTTATTTTCCAGAGTAAGAGTATGAAATATGAAAACAAGATCTCTTACAAGTGTGCACTGATTATACGTTAAAGTTTTTCCTATTCTACAACTCAAAGAACTGTAAAATGAAGCTACATAAAACATTTATACTAATTGCAAGATTTCTTTACGACGTTTAACTTGTATAGATACTATCTAAAAACTATAATATATGTTAGGGTACGTGACGAATGGTATAAAAAGATTAAGCACTGGGGAAGAAACTTTATGTTAATCGACGTACCACCATCCTGATATGCCAAGTTGTAAAATCCTAATAAATGAGCCTATTGAAGTGTAAAAATTTTAGGGAGTTAAGAAATAAACTATGAAAATAACTCACAGGTGGGCAGCAAGATGATGTGGTTGACTAAATCTCCTATCACAAGACGTACATGGATAAGGACGTTCACCTGTATGAACGCGCATATGAACGGCCAGACGAGCTGCCCGAGGGAATCCTTTGGCGCAAACTGTACAAATATAAGGACGTTCACCAGTATGTCGCTTCACATGTTCATTGTAAACAGCTGGTTGTGAAAACGTCTTGGTGCATACCGTGCATCGGTAAGGCCTTTCCCCTGGATTTCAAATCAAAAATTACATCCATTTAATATATATATATATATATATATATATATATATATATATATATATATATCAAAATAACTCTGTTTATAAATAAATGGTAACTAATTTCAATCATTATTTGACATACCAATTTTTTTCTTTTTTAAAATGATTTAGGATAACCTGATGTCAGATGTTTTCAAGAGGTTAGTTGATACTAATCAAGGCCATTGTGAGCCTTCGATTATATATATTATACATGTTCAGGTATCTAAAGCACCACTCCACAAAACCCGACCGTTGTTGCTACCTTGACGTTGTGGTCGAGCTTGCCTATCGTGATGAAGCAACCGAGCTATACTGGCTGGAACAACCGTTCCTCAAGGTCCTACCATGTCAGACAGGTCGGTTGAAGAGCGGTAAGACTAAAAGCAACAAACCCAAGGTCCGAAGGCGAAGTCGTACTGCTGACTGTACAGAGGTGTGACAGCAGCAAGGTGTCTCCTTCAGACAACCAGCATGACAGCGATGCTGCCTTCCCACAAGGAGGGGTGGGGTTAGAAAAGGTCGACCCTAAAAATGCACACCTCGCCTTATCCCACGGATATCCGTCTCCGGCGGTAAGGTCTCAACAAGTACGGAACTAACGCAAAAATTACCCATAAAAAGGTCGTGTGTGACCGACCTCAAGCAGTTGTCCCATGGGCACTGCGGTCGCACTCTCGGGTCACTAAGACCACCTCTAATCCAATTTCCTTTTCAGGCACCTCCAGAAGAACCTTTCCACGGTGTGGGCAACCGGGAAGTGGTAACCGCCCTCATTCCTCTAACAGCACTCAAGACCACTGTATTCATAATCAACCTCCGTCTTCACTTCCTATTATTACTCCTACACCGACTTTAACCTCTAAACTTCCTTTTTCGGCTTCCCCCCTCAAGTGTCACTATAGCCAACGATTCTAGTGATCAAAACACTGTCCCAGGTCTACTGAAACCTCGCTCCAAACTACACATTGGAGCCTTCAACGTACGCACCCTATGTCTAATCGGTCAACAGGCTTCCTTGGCTAGAACCCTAGAATCTCGTACCATTGATGTATGCTGTGTCTCTGAAACACGCATACAGGATTCCAGTGTGGTCATTCACTTGACCTCACCTCGACAAAACGGAGACCCGACGGTCAGCTCTCGTGGACTGGCAGGAGTAGGGATAGCACTAAGCATGAGGGCGGAACAAGCACTGTTAGAGTGGATCCCCGTTAACAGTTGTTTATGTACTGTTCGGCTAAACGGCCCGTAAGAACTCGGAAGGATAGGGACACACGTCGTTGCCTTTTTGTCGTTTCTGCCTACGCTCGCACCGACTGTAGCTCGGATGAAGTGAAAGATGAATTTTACAAAAAGCTAAACGTTCAGACATAGTACTCGTAGCAGGTGACTTTAGTGCCCAGATAGGTAGTTTAAACCAAACAGAAAGTCATTTACGTGGGTGTTTTAGTATTCCGGCAAAACGCACAGATAATGGTGATCGTCTGCTGCAACTGTGCTCAGACAACCGTTTATTTTTAGCAAACACAAATTTTAAGCATAAGGAGAGACATCGTCTAACATGGCGACCCCCCACACCAAACCAACGATGGACTCAAATAGACCATATTGTCATCAGTCATCGTTGGAGAGGGTAGTTCTGAAAACGAGATTGAGCCAGATGTTGCTTGGAAAGCTATACAAACAGCTGTGGAAACAGCAGTGACATCTCTCAGTGATTTAAACCACAGGATTACAAAGAACCAATGGATTACCTCAAGGTCTATTGCACTGATGGATTCTCGTAAACTCATCCCATCAGGCTCTGAACACGATGAAGAGCGAAAACAAATCAGATCTAGGTTAACCAAAAGTCTAAGGAACGACCGTGAGCAGTGGTGGGCAACGAAAAAAAGAGATGGAAAAGGCGGCGGCTATAGGGAACACAAGACAGCTCTTACAGACTAATAAAAGAAACTGGAATTAATAAGTCAAGTGTAAGTCAGGCTATTTCGGAAAAAGACGACACCCTCATCTGTTCTCAGTCCAGACGTTTAGAACGATGGGCGGAACATTTCAGAGAACAGTTCAGCTGGCCTTCAGCTACTCTACAACTACCCTCCATTCCCAGACAGTGTGAATGGAACATTGAAGTAGGTCCCCCAACTCTAGCTGAAGTTCAAAAGGCTATAGTTAATCTGAAACGAGGAAGGGCAGCTGGTCCAGATGGATTGGCTCCAGAGGTCTTTAAGGATGGTGGTCCAATTTTAGCGATTAGGTTGACTAATATTTTAGCTAAGATCTGGGAGTTAGACGTTATTCCATCTGACTGGTCACAATCACTTATCGTCCCAATATATAAGAGAGGGTCAAAATCATCCTGTGACAACCACAGAGGGATTAGTTTAACTAATATAGTATCTAAAATACTAGCCTCGATAATTATCACACGCCTAACTAAGACTCGTGAACTGCAAACACGAGAGAATCAAGCTGGCTTTAGACCTGGTCGTGGCTGCATCGACCACATATTCACCATTCGTCAGGTTCTAGAACACAGGCATACTTATCGGCGTCCGACAATGGTGGTCTTTCTTGACTTAAAAGCAGCATTTGACTCGGTAGACCGCGAGATTCTGTGGCAGTGTCTGTCATTGAAAGGCGTACCTCAGAAGTACATAAACCTTGTGAAGGCTCTTTACTCGAACACTACTAGTCGAGTCAGAGCTTATGGCGAACTGTCATCTGCTTTTGCAACCTCAAGTGGTGTCCGTCAAGGCTGTCCACTTTCTCCATTTTTGTTTAACTTCATCATAGACCTAATGATGGAAATAACGCTCTCGTCGACTGAATTCTCGGGTATTGATCTCCTACAAGGAGGTCCACTTATCGACTTAGAATACGCAGATGACATAGTCCTGTTTGGTGAAGACGCTGATAAAATGCAGAGTCTTTCGATAGCACTAAGCAACAATGCCAGAATGTTTGGAATGCGCTTCTCTCCCTCTAAATGCAAGTTGTTGCTTCAGGACTGGTCTGCGTCAACACCTGAACTAAGGATAGGGAGTGAAGTAGTCGAACGCGTTGACAACTTCACTTATCTTGGAAGTCTGATCAGCCCTAATGGGTTGGTGTCTGACGAAATCTCAGCACGGATTCGAAAAGCTCGTTTGGCTTTTGCCAACTTACGTCACCTTGGCGAAGGCGAGATATCCGTCTATCAATAAAAGGACGAGTATACTGCGCGGCAGTCCGTTCTGTTTTAATTTACGGCAGCGAAACATGGCCATTAAGAGTAGAAGACACTCGTAAGCTACTAGTATTTGACCACAGATGCCTTAGAAATATTGCTGGCGTCTGCTGGGATCACCGGGTAAGTAATAGTGAGGTTAGACGCAGGGTATTAGGGAATGATGGTAAATCAGTTGATGAGGTTGTGAATCTTCATCGACTGAGATGGTTGGGCCACGTGTTACGTATGCCTGAACACCGATTACCACGACGTGCAATGCTAACCGGTGTTGGAGATGGTTGGAAGAAAGTTAGAGGCGGCCAAACCAAAACGTGGCATCAGTGCTTGAAGTCACTAACTTCTAGTCTGAGCCATGTTGGTAGATGCAGACTACTTGGTTGGGGTCCGCGTGACTATCGTAACCAATGGTTGGAGACTCTTGGTGACATGGCTCAGAATCGATCACAATGGCGTCGGTGTATACACTCTCTGTCTTCCCTTAAACTAAGAGATTAAAATCACTTCATATCTTTCTTTCTACGAACTAATTCTTTCTTCCTGTACTATATCCTTATTGCAATCTTTCTTTTATATATTACCACCTCTGAATTAACTACTTTTATGAATCCGTTGTCCATCTTGTTGTGTTAATGATGTATGGCAACTTGGACCGATGCATATATGTGCCTGGTCCTACGTTGTAACTGACTGACTCCACAAAAATGGTTCAGTAATAATTAAAATAAGATAAATTATAACTAACCCGTGTGAATCCGTTTATGCCTATTCATATTTGGCCAGTCGTTGAATTGACGACCACAGTAGCAACACTGATACGGTTTTTCGCCCGTATGAATACGTCTATGCTTCTCTAAATAACGTAATATTCGAAATTCTTTATCACACTCCCGACAACGATAGGGTCCAGAACCCGTAGATGCCTTAGAATTTGAACTTATAATAGTTTCAGTAGGTACTGGATTGTTACCATCAGTTGAATTAGATGTTATGATTCCTCCACTAACTCGTGTAACTTGAACTGGTGAAGTAGACACTGAAGTACTCATTGCCATGGAAGTGGAAGGTATTGCGAAAGGTGCAATTGAAGTTAATTGCGGAAAACCTACAGCATTTATTTCATTTTGAGATCCAGAAGTTAAAAGATCTTCTGCTGCACCTGTGGTAACTCGTCCAAAACAATCAAGTGGTTCTGGTTTCATTTCAACTGAATCTTTAGAATTCTAGATAGAAAATAAATGTTATAAGGGTATAGGTAGTAAATTAGTGAACACATATCTATCGGTTGAACGGGTTTTGTAGAGACTGGTTTCATCTACAGATTGCGTTTGTCAGACTGATTTCAATCTGAGTACTACTGAAAAACCGAGAAACACTAAACGGCTACATCTTCTTAGTATGGGGAGACTTCAGCAATGTTCACCCACGATCTTACGAGAAATCGAAAGCCAGAACATTCAGATCTCACAGTGAGTGTTTCAACACTAGATCTATCAGATCGGGTTTCAACACTACTATTCTATCTTCAGTTAATTTGCACTGGAGTAAGTGCAACAACCATTTAATGACATTGGTAAAAACCTTTATGCTTGTGATACATCTGAAATCCAGAAATTAGGAGCTTTCACTATAACTTCAGGAATATCTTGAAGTAAATCATCAGTCACTAATTTTTCCCATACTAAGATGAAACAGCTATTCTTAATAGTACCTCAAATGAGATCAGTTTGTGACAAACTAATTGTTGGAGAGACCTTGAAAATTCCTCGAAAAAACCAGAGAGGACCTTAAAAACGTTGAGAAACATTTTATCCAATCAGTATTGAATAGAAGTTTGTCAGAAATATCTAGAAAGCGAAATGTTACGTGTCACATTTCCGATTGGATGACTACCTAACCTGTTAATATGTTCAGTACGGTCCCAGAACTTGCCAGAAGCCCAAGGCTGTCTGAAATGTTGTGCACACTCTCACTGGATTATACTCCTTAAATAACATCTTCAAATCCTAATTTTTCTGATTACAGCTTATGATTTTACTACATCTAGCAATACGGGATTTGAATCGACCACTGCATCTCTGTGCTAATGTGGTGTGGCAACTCGAACTGATTTACGTACGTACGAAGTTCTACGTTGTTACTGACTGACTGACTGAATTTTCTGTACATAAACTAACCTTGCAGTAAAGCGTTTCTCCCATATTACGCTCCTTTTCTCTCGTGTTTAAGTTGTCTTGTAGAGTTAGTCTACGGTTATTACAAGAGCTTAGGAGACCGATTCAAGCGTTCAGTCAGAAAACTTATCACTAATAAAACTTAATAAAATGTCTATCATTTCAAACAGAAGAAAAACTACTCACCCTTAATCGCCCATTCAATTCGGAATTGGATGTTGGAATTTTGATATTTGATTTTGAACCGGGAGTGTTATGAACTATGGTAGAGTTTGTGACGGAATTAGAACCACTGGAAGGGACAAAGTTAATTGAACTGCTTGTTAAAGGTGTAGTATTTGTATTCATCAAAACAGAATGATCAGCAACAACAGAGAGATGAGATGAAACAGGAGTCATATTAGATGGTAATAAAGTTGTCCCATGACTACCAGCTACAAGAGGAACCAATAACGCACTACAGCCACCCATTCCAGTTCCAGTTGACATTACAGCGGTCATTGTATTCATAGGTGAAAATAAAGTACCGGCTGGGTAAGTAATAGATGATATTTCAGATGGTGTCGCACTGTCATTTACATCCTTGGCATTATTCGCTAAGAATAAAGTGATGTAAAAATTATTAAATATCGTATACATATACATATAGTTAAGAGGTGACACAACAAAATAAGTAGAAAGTGAAGAGAACTAGAGGAGCTAGGAGTGGGTTACGACAGTTTGGACAAAAAGTAAAGAAATTCATTCACATCTACTAAAATAACCTTCGAGTTATAAGACTATAATGACATGTGGTTGTATCAGAAAGAGGATGTTGTTATGTGAAAACGAGAGAAATGAGTTATATTACTATGTAATTATAAGAGGCTTTATTTAATGAAGCACGAACTTAGTCGTAAACAACGACAGAGTACCTGATCACACCAATAGGTACAGCGAAACAAAAGCAAGACAAATCGAGTAGAGTGAAAGAAATAACAGTCTTATGACCACTCTAAGCAACAATGCAATCACGTTCGACATGCGATTCTCCCCCTCGAAATGCAAAATGTTGCTTCAGGATTGGGTTGCATCGACACCCGAACTAATGATAGGGAATGAAGTAGTTGAGTGTGCCTACCGCTTCACTTATCTTGGAAGTCTCATCAGCCCTTGTGGTCTGGTATGTGACGAAATATCAGCACGGATATATATATATATATATATATATATATATATTCATGTCGTGTTTTGTTGAATAAAGCAGAATGATTTTTCTCCTCTACTGTAACTGACAATACATCCTAGTTTATAAACTTAAAGAACAAGCAATAGATGAATGGGGTAGTTGAAAACTGCGAAATGATGCGTTTTGTTAATAGGTACTGCACGCGAATAATTTTATCATTTAAGTTGAGTCCCATAAAGAATGCTGAATGACTTTGACTGTTTTGTGCTTTTGCCAACTTGGGTCATTTATGGCATAGGCGAGATATCCGTCTATCAACCGAAGGACGTGTTTACTGTGCAGCAGTTCGTCCCATACTACTTTATGGCAGTGAAGCATGGCCGGTAAGAGTAGAGGATATACGTAAGTTACTAGTATTCGGTCATAGGTGTCTTCGAAACATTGCTCGTATATCCTGGGACCATCGAGTAAGTAATGCAGTTGTTAGGAAACGGTTACTAGGTAAGGATGGTGAATCGATGAATGAAGTAGTGAAAACTCATCAGCTGATATGTCTGGGACACGTGTTACGTATGCTCAAACACCAACTGCCTCGACGTGAGATGTTTTATGGTGTAGGAGTAGGTTGGAAAAAAGCCAGATGTGGCCAGACCAAAACATAGCGAAAATCCATGAAGTCACTGACAAGTGGACTGAGCCATGTTGTTAGGTGTAGACTACCTGGTTGGGATCTGCGAGATGATAACAACCGATGGTTAGAGACCCTGAATGACATGGCTCAAAATCGTTTGCAATGGCGTAGGTGCATTCACTCTTTGTTTTCCCAAATTAGTCTTCTGAATACTCCATGTTCCTCTTTCCTCTTTCTAAATTTATTTCACTGTATTATACTCTTTGAATAACATCTTCAAACCCTAATCTTTCCGATTACTGCTTATACTCTTACTACCTCTACCACTACGGGATTCGAATCAACAACTGCATCTCTGTGCTAATGTGGTATGGTAACTCGAACTGATGTACGTACGTACGAAGTTCTACTTTGTTGCCGACTGACTGATAGATACTCTACAACAGTCAATTTGTCAAAACTTCAAAACACTTATAACCAACAATTTTTGATTACAGTATCTATTGTCCGACACAAAGCAGACTAGTGGGCGGAACACTACAGTTACGACGCTAAATGCCACGTATTCAGTAGGGCTATGTCAAACGACAACTAAAGTTGCAATATGAATGACCATAGTTACACTCATATCTATTAAAAAACAATCAAAATATGAACGCTCTATAAAGTTACTATCGTGTTTATTTATCGCATTGTAAACCTATATTTAACTCCGCCTGTAGCTCATCTAGAGTTACTGCCGTTCCCAAGCCCGGGTAGACGAGGAAGGTTATGCATCGAGTTAGCGACCCCATCCCGTAGAAAACTAACTCACTAAAAAACGATAACCAGAAAATAATTATTCAAACCATTTAAACTCTGCCCTGAGAGTTAGGTCTTCTTTTAGAAGAATTATGACGCTTCATGAAGAAAGGCGAGCTCCTTCGAAGCCACGAGGCCGATGCCCCTTCTAACAACCAGAGCAACAATTTTTATAGGTACATAGAACGTCCGAACAATGTGGGAGACCGGGAAGACCAGTCAAATAGCAACGGAAATGAGGAGATACAACTTGGCAGTACTGGGAATCAGCGAAACCCACTAGACCCAAGCTGGACAGAAAAGGTTAGCTACTGGAGAGATGCTGCTATACTCCGGTCACGAAGACGAAACTGCTCCACACACTCAGGGGGTCGCTCTAATGCTGTCCAAAGTAGCATGAAATGAACTTGTAGGATGGAAATCTCACATAACTAGAATCATCAAAGCATCATTCAAAACAAAGAAGGAGGGGATCTTAATGAATATCATCCAATGTTATGCACCCACCAATGATAGCAACGACGACATTAAAGATCAATTCTACGAGCGGCTGCAGTTAATCATAGAGAAATGCCCAAGAAAGGACTTCACCATTCTGATGGGAGATCTGAATACCAAAGTCGGAATAGACAACACCGGATATGAAGATATGAGACGACATGGATTGGGGAGAAAGAAACGAAAATGGAGAAAGATTTGCAAATCTGTGTGCATTCAACAAATCGGTCATAGGCGGCACGATATTTCCACACAAACGTATACACAAAGCCAAATGGATCTCATCAGACCACACAACAGAGAACCAGATAGATCATATTTGCATCAACAAAAAATTCCGAAGGACAATGGAAGATGTGAGAACCAGGAGAAGTGCTGACATAGCTTCAGATCACCACTTAGTTGTGGCCAATTTAAAACTGAAGCTAAAGAAAAACTAGACAACTGGACAAACAGCACTACAAAGGTTCAATACAGCCTTCCTTCGAGATACTGACAAACTCAATGAATTCAAGATAGCTCTCAACAACAGGTTCCAAGCCTTACAAGATCTACTGAATGAAGAAGAAACTACTATGGAGGACAACTGGAAAGGCATCAAGGAAGCATTAACTTCAACGTGTCAAGAGGTTCTGGGCCTAAAGAAACACCATCATAAGGAATGGATCTCTATAGAAACACTGGACAAGATCAAAGAAAGGAAGAACAAGAAGGCAGCAATTAACAACAGCCGAACACGAACAGAGAAAGTCCAAGCACAAGCTGAATACATAGAAGCAAACAAACAAGTGAAGAGGAGCATTAGAGCCGACAAGAAGAAATACGTGGAAGAACTAGCAACGACGGCAGAAAAAGCTGCTAGAGAAGGAAATATGAAACAGCTTCACGATACAACGAAGAAACTAGCAGGGAAATACAGTAAACCAGAGAGGCCGGTCAAAGACAAAGAAGGCAAGCCAATCACCGAAATTCAACAACAGCGTAACAGATGGGTGGAATACTTCGAGGAACTCCTGAATAGGCCGGCTCCAATGAATCCACCGGACATCGAAGCAGCACACACAGATCTTCCTATAGATGTCAATCCACCAACGACCGATAAAGACAGTCAGTGTAGCAGCAGTCTCTGCATCAGTAGGCCTCAACAGACACAAGGAAGAAACCAAGGTCCTCAAATACAACACGGACAACAGCAATCTAATCACTCTTGATGGCGAAATTCTGGAAGATGTAGAATCCTTCATATACCTGGGAAGCATCATCAATGAACAAGGAGGTTCAGATGCAGACGTAAAGGCGAGGATTGCCAATCAAGGGTCGCATTCCTACAATTGAAGAACATATGGAACTCAAAACAACTTTCAACCAATATCAAAGTGAGAATCTTCAATACGAACGTCAAGGCAGTCAGTTCTACTGTACGAAGCTGAAACTTGGAGAACTAAAACAACCACCATCAAGAAGGTACAAGTATTTATAAATAGCTGTCTACGCAAATACTCAACATCCATTGACCGGATACCATCAACAACAGCCTTCTGTGGGAGAGAACAAACCAGCTTCCAGCTGAAGAAGAAATTAGGAAAAGACGATGGAAATGGATAGGACATATACTACGCAAATCACCAAACTGCATGACGAGACAAGCCCTAACTTGGAATCCTGAAGGGAAGCGAAAAAGAGGAAGGCCAAAAAAACATATTACGTCGGGAAATAGCAGATAAGAAAAGGATGAATAACAACTGGAAAGGATTGCCCAGGACAGGGTTGGATGGAGAATGCTGGTGAGTGGTCTATGCTCCTTCACGAAGAGTAACAGGCGTAAATAAGTAAACCTATATTTGTAAATATTACAACAGGGATGGAATTATTTGATATTAATTTTGAACTATATGGTTCGAATAAGATAATACCAATTTCCTAAGAGACAGCAGCTAAGTCTTTTGTATTTTGTTGCAAATATTTCAAGCAGTTAGCCAATGATAAGTATGTAAAATTTTAGATACTGCAAATCACAGTCTTTATGCTAATAATTAGGATTTTTCTGTTTAGTATGAGAAACGAGAGTAGATTCTCACATCGATACCTAATTTATTAATAGAAAAAATTTCCGATGCAAAACAAACTAGAGCCGTGAGAACATTGGGACGGTGAGAAAATTTTTAACCAAGCCAATAAGATAAGCAACTTCGCGTTTCATACTTTCTTTTTAAACTAACATAAAGCTGAATTTTAAAACATCAGATTGGTTTACTTGACCTCATATAAACCTACGCCAAGGACACGTAGGCAACAGACAATCAATAATAGACAGCCTACGGACCAAAAATTAACCAATCAGAAAACGAAAGGCAGACAGACATCAATAATAATAACTGACTTGGCACGCCTCTAATTTAACTACCAGTCCAATGGTGGTATTGTGTTTAAAAAGTCGCGTGTCTATTTAAAATAAACGATTTAAATACACAATGAAGTAAACCTAGAAAGTAGAGCCT